TTCTGTGTTCAAAAAAATTTTAATTGCTATCTCAGACCGTTTTCGACTATGCCCCGCCTAGCTAGACTATCAAAATCGTGAAAAAAAAATTTTTCCACAAAAGTGGTAGAAACCCGGCGGATTCATCCATTACTTTTGTATGAAGACAGACTTTAACAGGAGTAATTGTATGTGTATATTTTACATTGTCTCTATCTTAAGATACATTTATGGTAAATGTGTGTCTTTTATATCGCTCAAATATAACGATAGATTCGATGTTCTTATTTCAAGAAAACTTATTTACATTAAACCTAAAGTTTTAAATACTTGTGTTCTGATTAATTCAGTCGACGAAAATCACTTATTTTAACCATCTGTTCTAAAGTTTGATTTGTAACATAATTCATTCAAAACCGATTACTTATACAAACTACGGACATACATAGTTAGTTAAATTTTTAATTATACAATATGTTTTATTAATGAAACCAAAGTTAACCATCAATGCCCATATGATATTTGTTTCGCGCTCTATCTTTTCTTTAAAACTTTAGTCTTGTTCGCAGTTTTTACAAATACATCTAGAAATTATTGAAAATTTAACTACAATTTTTAATTCTAGTTTTGCATATCTCTTTCCGAGATGATTATAGATTACTATCTATTGAGAAAGATAGTAATCTATACTATCTTCTTTATAATTCGAAATATTTTCAGTGGTAATATGAAGTTTAGGCTGTTCTGATAAATAGATACGAATGAATAGTTTTCATAAGCAGTAAACTAGAGTCTGTTGAGTTAGTGTTCTATCCGGCGCCCTTCCGAAGATAATGTTTCACTCATGTTTTATGTGTTTGCACTCTCAAAAATAGGTGTTCCTACTTCGGAAGAGAAAATCTAGACAAAACACTACACATTATAAATACTGCAATTCTAGTACAATGATTTTTCATGTATAAATTTATTTAGATTGAAATTTCGTAATAATTTGAATTCTTACATTAAAAAATTGTAATGGATTTGTAATATCTGCTTTACTAATTGAAAATGGAAAAACAAGACGTGTTAGATGATCAAGTAAATTTCGCCGTTGATTTTGTTCTTTAGCATTACCAAAAAAGAAATGACGTAAATCCTAAAATAAAAATCTTTTTTCTTTGACAAAAATAAAAATCATTATTTACTTTGCAATTTATTTCTATTCCATATGCAGCACCATCACTTATATTACTTCTTGCTTGTCCACCAATTTTTTCTATCTGACTTATCATACCTAATGGTACATCAACAAGTACCTAAAAACAAAATAGAAAAGAATAATTTCAAAACAACACGAAAAAATTATTTTTCATACTTGAATAGTATCAGGTGGTTTTGTAACAAACATTAAACGATATTTTGTTACAATTAATTCACCACGATATGGTACCGATCGATTATTTGTACGGTAAGTTATATCTAAAAAAAAAAAAAAATTTTTTTTTTTTTTTTTAAATTAAAGAAAAAAAAAAATAAATTAATCAAA